TGGATGGTTAACAGCCTAAGATTGCAGACCAAAATTAGAGAAAAAGGAGGGCTGCAAGGAAAGTCAACATTTTGGCCCTAGCCATCTAAGGTCAATTAAGACTCAGGACATATTAGAACTTGTACTGTAACGTCATGTAACTCAGTAGTGTCCCAAATTTTCTGATCAAGGAGATTATGAGGCCAAAAAGGAAAGTGATCAATGATTTAGATTTAGGAGAGTCCCATGGAGAGAAAACATTCTCTCAGGCTTTCACAGAGAGCACATTCGCCAAGAAATGGCCATGACTCATCCGCATGGCTAACACTGACAAAGGTTCTACAATCTGAGGTACAGGATCTCAGGATAAATCCTGAGGGGATTTCACTGACCTTATCAGACCCAAAAGCTACAACTCTTTAACTTGGTCTTAACCATTTAGCAGAAAATTATAAAAACCAAAATATAAGAACTAAAGCCATGGTGTTATGTTGAGCTATAGGGGACACAGGTCAACAATTTCTGACATTGCCAATGAAACCGAAGACCCAATACTATTATGGGCTACTGGACTCTTTTAGAATATTTTGCTGAGTTTACACACCTATAATATGCAAATAGCAAAACTTAACCAAAAAAGGGGATACAGATAAATGTCCATTTTGTATCTCTGTATTCAAAAGGTTAGGATAGACATATAGTTACATTCTCTTAATGAATAGAGGGATTTGTTCTAATGGTGTTTGTAAATAGGATATCATGTCCGCATCTTGGACAGCAATGAACCACTAGGAAGAATGTATGCAATGTGTTAATTATTGAAACTTTTCTACCAATTTTGTTTGAAACTGTCTCATTGCTACTTGTTTCTCAATAAAATTATAGGAAAAAAGACAATCATTCATTTATGTATGATACCATGCTATTTAACCTCTTCCAAATTACAAACTATCTTTAAACATTTTCCATTAACTACTCTTTCTATACCAGCATTGCTATTACTTTATGGTCTTGTATAATTCTCTACAGGGCCCAAAGAGTAAATGATTTTGCCTTCACCAACTAAACAAACTCCATCACATCTGGTTAAATCAAAGACTAAAAGCTGCTACAGGTGATATTAAGTAGGCATACAGTTTCCAACTTACAATTAATGCAAAAATTTGAAAGTCATTTTTCTTTCAAGGTCCATATTTTTCCACTCACTGAGTGAATTATTTGTATGTTTTAAAACAAACTCAATAAAAATATAACAAGACAACTGATTTTCTAATCAATATTTGTTTGTATTTCCGTATTTGTACTTTAATTTGTGGAGCAGAGTGTGTTATTTCTTTTTCATCTGTTCAAGAATGAAGGAGCTTATCTGTTTCCAAATCTATCCTTCACTCTAGAGTCGCAACCAGAGAGTCCACTGTTCTATATAGAGAGCCCTTGGGTAGTTATTCCTCCTTCCTTCTGTATCTATAATTGAGGACAGGATCCTCAGGCTGCAGCCATTGACCACAAGAGCTTGAAATTGGATTCACACGAAAGAATTTCTTGTGGGCTTGAAATGATTACTGGATATAAAGAACTAAGCAAAGGTGCAAGAATTAAGACATGGAGATAGTTAAAAGTGAATAAATTCTGTTTGCATTGTGAGTTATACAAGGATCCTTGAGGTCCATTGGAGGGAGATATGTTTTTAATGTGGTTCAAATGTCTCCCAGTGATTGAAGTTGTGAAGGTTTGGTTCCCAGGGTGACAAATTCAGGAGTTGGTAAAATTTCTGAGACACAGAACTAGGACACCTCCTTCCAAAAAGATTAACATAGATAAGCAGAGAAGGTGGAAATAAAAAATCAGCCATGGTGCTATTCAAATTGTTACTGCCATAGTGAATGAACATGTAAATGCTGCTCACAGAGAAACACCCACCTCAGCAATACAACACACTATGTGCTTGAAGACCACACACACATTTTATACATATATATA